GTCTTCAATATTCAAATGATATAATTATATGAGCAAGTCAGAGACATGAGTCGCCGGTGAATGCATAAGCAATGTAATCCCTTCTGTCCCTCAAAGCAAAGCATTCATTTGTTACAACTCATCTTTTTGCATAATATGGAGGCAACCTCACACAGAAAGACACACATTCTTATTTTTAGACAAACACGCTGCAGAGGACAATATCTGAGGCTGCTCATCGCCACTGCAAATCTCTCCTTCGGGCCATGGGTTCAATGTGCCAGACCAACAAGCCGCCTGCCCTATCTAACCTAAGACAAGGTCACAGACACACATGTGCAGACAGACACACATGCAGCACTGCCAGCAGCTGCACTGTGGCTACAGAGCAAGGAAAGGGTAGGAAAGATAGAGGACATTGGAGGACAGGGTACAACGTAAAGGACACAGAGAGGAGGAGAGCAGAGAGGAAGAGGTAGGATGTCTGTGTGTGTGTGTGCGCGTGTGTGTTAGAGAGAGACACAGCATCATCAATTAGATGAACCGAAGTGGCACAAAGAGGGAGCAGGTGCAAATCTGTGTGTGTGTGTGTGTGTGTGTGTGTGAGTGAATGTGTGCACACGTGTGAATAAGTGTGTGTACGTGTAAATGAGTGGAGGGATCGAATACATGGGAGTGGAACACCATGAGCCCCAGCAGGGATGTCACACCAAACCTGCTCCAACACCGCTCCCTTTGCTTCAGTGGAGCGCTCTACCCCATTACCTGCAAAGGGCAGATGAGTGTGTATGCGTGTGTGTGTGTGCGTGTGCTTGTGTGGCAGGAAGCTTTGCTGGACCAAACTAAAATGGGTCACTGCTAGATATGAGCCATTTCACGTCTGTTTTCCAACCTCAAAACTCAGCACCTTTGTTGATAACGTACCTCTCTGCATCTGCTTTTGAAATAAGTTTAGAATAAGCGTTCACATTGGATTTCACAAACTTAACTCGACACACTCGCTTCTGAATGCTGTGCTTTTGTCTTCCTCTCTCGTCCCATCTTCCTCCTGCATTGTTTCTTTCTTGTGCTCCACAGTCTCCCTTGCTGGAGGATTCTGATGGAATACCAAGTAGCTCTGCGGCCCACTTTACAGGACCTCAACTCCCGCGTGTTTGTGCGTGTGTGTGTGCGCGTGTGTGTGTGTGTCAGGAAGAGAGAGAGAGATGGAGAAAGAGAGACCTGTAGGGAAAAGAGCAGAATAAATGTGTGGGCATGGATGAGGTTATCAATACTATGAGAACATAAACCCACAGAGCATCTCTTTCTCTCTTTGTTCTTCTTCTTCTTCTGTCTGTACGTCTCCATCCCTCTTCACTCTGGAAGGTTAGCAGGAATACGCCAATGCCCGCGCACACGTGCACACGCACCCACACACACACACACACACACACACTGCGGGGGCATTGCAGGCAGTCAAGCTTGATCATGAAGGCTCTCATTAAGCATGTTCACGCTAAATGCTTGCACGTATGAGCACATTATCAAACGCTTGCACAAGCTGAAAATGATTCATGTTTGTAGTCATATACCTTCACATTTACTCACTTGCGCATAAGCACACAGACAAACAGCAGGTAATGAGCAATCAGTTTTCTTTTTGCTTGATTTTTGTCACATGCCAAGTATCCCCGACGACCTCCGCTAGGAACAAGCAGAGCCTATGTGATGTGTATGTGTGTGTGTGCTTGATTGCCATTGTCATTTTATCTCACTCATCCCTCTCTCTCTCCCTCTCCATTCCCACCCGTGTCGGCGCTCTCTTACCATGTAAACAAAGCCAGGTTTAGTCCTTCAAAGGGCAACGCTCGGCAGCTGTGCCCTCTGGAGGTGACCGTGCTGAAGGACAGAGGGAGACACAGAAAGGGAAGGTGGATAGAAAAGGAGATAAAGGAGAGTTGTGCGGAGGAGCAGAGCAAGGGAGGGATGAATGATTTTGGGTCAAGGCTAGAAGTCTGGAAAAAAGAGAAAAAGATATTCAAAGAAATAGGTCTAGAGGATTTGTCCTTTCACAGCCCACATGCTGATTCTTTTAGCCATTGCTGAGTGGGAAAGTGATTCAGTGTTATGCCCTACAACGCATATAAAGTGATATATGTAGATGGAGCAAAGCTTGTCTTTCAAAAGAGCGTAGAATGCCAACTTCATGCTGCTGGTTTGAGTCTGCATCGTGTATCACTGAACACATACTCGTCTCTTTCTTTCTCTTTTTTTTGTGTTGGACAAACTGATCAATATGTAGTTCTCAAAGATGCAGCGATGAGGAAAAAGAAAATCTCCACACAGAGCTTGCCAGAACAATACCTAGAGGCCTACAGCAGGGCTTTCCAATGGGCGATATCCCCACAGTGAGTCATCTGTGGCAGAAAACACATCAAATAACACACAACGCAAATAATGTATCCCTGAAATGTCAGCTTTTAAACAATCAATTAAGAGACTCCTTTTTTAGATTATATTCAATTAATTTAGTTGAATGAATTGCATAACATTAACCTCGTCAGCGTCATAATCCAACTTTTATTTTGAAAATCTGTCAAGAAACATTACAATCTAATTGTGTTTGTTTGCAAGCATGTGTGTGTGTGTGTGTGTGTGTTTGTGTGTGTTTGCAGGCATGTGTGTGTGTGTGAGACTTTCCAGCATGCTACATAAATGAGTGTGTTTGTGTTATGTGGCATCTTGGCCTAAAATATCCCTTCTATATACACTCGCTCAGACTCAGCCTCCTCAACACATTCACCGGGTTTACGTGTGTGATTTCTTCATGCCACATGCATACACAAGGATTTCCACTTGACTGCGTGGCTCTGTCGTTGCCATGGTGACAGTAGACCCTGTTTGGGGTTTTTTGTTGTTGTTGTTGTCTTTAAGGCATAACACATCCCAGTGTGAGGTTGTTTCCACTGGGAAAGGTCATTGGACAACACCAACCTGTCAGGCGATAGAAAGATATACAGTCCATACATGTCCATTCTTTTATTTTCACCCCAGAGACTAAGAGAGCAAAAGGAGAGGATGTCGTTCTACAGACGGATAACATCGCCTCTGCATTCTGCTTTCAGAGCCAAATAGGATTTCTGTACCTAAACCACAAAGTAGATAACTGTAGTGGCTGATCTCGCTCACAGACACATACATCTGCCTCTCTCTCTCTCTCTCTCTGACCTTTATTTATTCTTACATGCTGAAGCTGCAGCAGTGTGTGCGTGTGTGTGTGTCTGTCTGTCTGTCTGTGTTTGTGCAGTGAAGACTCCCCTCTTCTCTTCTTCCAGGTTCATACATTTGAGTAATGTCTGCATAGAGTGTGTGGTTGGTGTTGATGTGCCATGCCTGTAAATGTCGATGAGTCATCCTAAACCCCAGAGATCAGACAGTTGTACCTCACACACACACACACACGCACGCACACACACACACCTACACACACACACACACACACGTACACACAGACCCTGCATCACATTAACTGGCCTCACTCACAGAACCAAAATGGTCTCCCAGATCGGCCACGGTAAGGCTCATTTCCCTCAGTTTCAGATGCCATTGAGCCGTTTCAGCCTCACAGCTCAGTCAGATTTCAACAAAAACCTCGAGCTGGATATAATCAAGGGGAGAAGATGACTTGGTAGGACAATACAGAAACGTGTTGATGCCAGTGTATCACATGGAGTTGGACTGGGGAATGATAATAGGCAAACAGATGGAGACGATGGATACCCAATCATGTTTCTGATGTTATTTGATTGAAATCGTTACATTTGTTTGACTTAATGTATGAGCAACATGCTCAATATAATCAGACTGCTTATATCATTAATTAGAAATGTATGTGCACAATATTCCCTCGCCATCAGCCCTCCAATCAAGTCTATTTGCTGCTTGTCCAGTAGCCTCAAAGTGCTATGTGTCCATCTTTCTGTCTGTCTGTCTGTCTGTCTGTGAGTGTCAACAGCCGGTCTCCGCCCCCTCTATGTCTCTTCCTATAACCTATGAGACTGGCTGCCGGTGACCCCCCCGTGACCTCCAGCTGTGTGTCATGACAACGGGACACTGACAAATGTCAGAGCAGATATTGGCTTCCTCCATCTCCTAAGCCTCTCCCTTGGGTAGGAACCCACCCACACAGCCTGGCCAGACAGTGCAGAAGAGAGGAGGAGAGAGACAGAGGGAAGATGTGTGTCTGTCTGTCTGTCCGTCTGTCTGTCTGTCTGCTTTCCCAGTGTGTTGAACCTGCGGTTATCAAGGAAAAGGGCACAGAGTCCACCGAGACGGGAGGATGCAGGCAGATCCGAACAGGGAACAAGATTGGAGGCATCTGAATGCTGCCTTATTGAAGTGTGTGTAATTAGGATGGGGGATATAGCAGCGTGCTGATTGGGAGCAGCAGCAGGGAGGGTTGCTGTGTTATTTTGGAGCGTGCTGTGTTAACCAGGGTGTTAAAGGCAGATGTGTTAGACGTGAGTGTGTGTGATGAGGTGGGGCAGGAAGAGTGGCATGTTTGGGTTATTTTCAAGTGTGTTGTCGGGTTGTCGAGGAGCATGTGAGCTGAGCTTTGGTGTGCGTGGTGCTGTGATGATTCCGGAGGTGGTGGTGAAGTGCGGCTGTTTGAGAATATGTGTGATGGGGTGAGTGTGTGCGCGTGTCTGTTTCCTCCCAGGCCGCTCCACCTCCCCAGCAAACTGCCTCTGCATGCATAATTAACCAGGATGACTGGGGAGGTAAAAACGTACACAGGGAGACGCTCCATCCTTCCACTGTATGCCTCCATTTATGTGCGTGTGTGTGTGTGTGGGTCTGTGTGTATGTGTTTGTGCGTTTGCATGTGTGTGTTTGTTTGTGTCAGATAGACAGAGAGCAGGAAGAAGATTTGAAGCGAAAGTAATTCAGAGCCAGTGTTGATGCGAGAGAGCTGTCTGTGTCTGCGTGTGTGCATGTATGTTGCTTATGTGTGTGTGTTTGTGTTTGTGTGTGTGTGTGTGTGTGTGTGTGTGTGTGTGTGTGTGTGTGTGTGTGTGTGTGTGTGTGTGTGTGTGTGTGGAGAGAAAGAAGATAAATCCCATCTCAAGCTGCCTCTGAAGATGATGCGATGAAAGAGAGGGAGAGAGGATAAAAAAAGAATGAAGGGGGGGGCCAGTAACCAGTCGCAGCTCTGCGCATTATGAACCATCCAGCGGAACAATCAGATTCACCCTCCTCTCTTCCTTCACCCTTCCTTCCATTCCCCCCTTACACTCCGTCCCTCCTGTCCTTCCTTCCTGACAATATGCGATGTACAGACGGACACATTCTGATGCTGGAGATCTGACGGTCCAAACATTCAAACTGTGATGTCACTTTAAGGTTTACAAATCTATGCTAACAATGAAGCTGGTTATGAAGGCAGCTGCCTTGATGAGATTTGAAGTGGGCAGAGCCCAACACAATCAATCACACGTCTAGCAGCTCATGTTTGCCTGTTGTGGTGAAGCGTTTGACTAATTATGGACCCCACTGCCTTGTAAGCTTGCGCACAATCTACCATTTTGCATGTGCCTCTGTGCGCGTAAAGTGTGCGTGTGGGGTGATTGCTGCTGCAGCTCATATTTCCCAGGAGCCCAGGTTGTAAAGCCCACTCAGTAAATCATCTATCCTCCTCTGTCCTCTGTACCCCCTTCTCCATCATCCTCCTCTTCAAACTTATCATTCTATCGCGTCCATCTAGCATCCCCCATCCTCAATCTCTCCCCCAGCCTCAAATGACTCTTTCTCTCTCGCCTCCTATAAGACCCCCAACACCTTGTTGTTTTCCCCCTCCCGTTGCCATTCTCCTCTCCAGTCACGGCACGGGGCCAGAGGAGCAGATCTGAGTGTGGAAAAGAAAGATAGAGGAGGTTTAAACAGAAGTAGAGATGAGAGATAACATTGTGTTGAAAGACAGAGGGAAAAGCATAAAATACACACACACACATCTTACTGTGTGTGTGTGTGTGTGTGTGTTTGTACTATGTGCACACGAAGGACAGACGGTGAGTGATGCCTGTTTGCTTCATCTTCATCCCTCCTTCTCTGTGCTCAAGCAGCAGCAAAATCAATGCTACCTAATAAATGGACAGACAGACAGACTGATAGATGGACAGATCAACAGCGAGGATTCAGCGATCTCAGCATGTATCCATCGTCCTCTCTCCTCTCTGACCCCTACTGAGGCAGGGAGCAGCGTGACATGACGTGGTGCATCCACAAATACAGCAGTCGGCCGGCTCCACAATGCCAGGGCTCTCTGTGGAAGATAGAAGTGGAAGGAGGAGGTGCAGCGTGGAGGTGGAGAGGAGACGTGATAGGAATGTAGACGCCCTTCACACCTGTGTGTTTGAGGGAAAGGACAGAAGGAGGAGTGAGGTAAATTGATAGGGAAGAGGGCTTACGTGGCTTGTTTGCTTTGTTTTTTAGTGAGAGACACACAAACAGGAAAAAATCCAATGAATTATTCTTCATAATAGGCTATTGTGGAGAAGAGCGGATGTGTCAGAAACACACACAAATGTAAAGACACGTGGCATCACAACACTGGATCCCAAAAGTGACGTGCGCCTCAGTCCATCCTCTCTGCTGTGCCTGGCAAGCTTGGTCTGGCAGAATCCCACCCCTTGTACCCTATAAGCATCTTATTTAGGTCATTGTGTAAACAAGTGTCCTCACACACACATTCACACACACACACACACCACCACGGGTGAAGCACGAGGAGTCTTCAGGCAGGGGAGATAGAAAGGTAGTAGGGAGGACAGAGAATCTCCGGGCGAATCTATAGGTGTGTGTTTTGGTGTGTATGTGTGTGTGTGTATTCACGGGACAGCCAAAAGCTGTGGGCCTGCATACATAAACACAAAGAGACCTACACTCACTCACACACTCGCATTCACATACACGCAAGAATGAATGCACGCAATAGTCACACACTGCTTTGCATCCTCGCACACAAACACACTCACGCACACTGTGTGCTTCAGAGATGAATAATGCTACTGTGCGTCTGGTGGGATGCACCATTGTCCCCGGGGTGGGTTGGATGCCGGGATATTGTGCTGGAACCGGCTGACACACACACACACACAAAAACACACACGGACACGCACCCAAACTCAGTGCTCTGTCTCCAGGTGACTCTGTTCCTTTTATAGAGCAGAGCTCTCCCACCTCCTCTCTTCCCTTCTCTTTTGTATGAATGCATAAACACACACTCACAAACACACACACATAAGCAGGCAAAAGATTACAAACATTGCCACGTGCACTTATACACTGGAAGAAACACACCAAACACACAAACACACTCTATGACACCCCTACTGGTATACTGAAAGCATGCACATAAACACACTTCCCACTTCCTCTTGGAGGAAATTGGAGTTTGCATCTGTGCAGGGAAAGACTGGGAGGAGAGGGAAGAACAAAAAGAGGGCTCAGTTGAAGCTCTTGAAACACTGCATCAAAGACAAACCAGATAATGTCGCTTTACATTGTTTGTTTAGGAAATACATTTTAATATCTTAGAGTGTTCAGAAAAAAGGGGCTAAGTCTGGGGATCATATTTGATCCAAAACAATAACAATGAATAATGCATCACACAAAGTCAGCTGGAAAGCTAAATAGCCACAGAGGCTCTGTACATGAGTTCAGTTGAGACTCAGAGCCAGAGTGTTATGGACCAACACGGATGCTCTTCAGATGTCATCTTATTGCTGCGGCCGGCTGTGTTTGAACATTTGCCTGGTCTCAATCATGCGCTCTTAAATATTAATGCACATACACACTGCGGTTGTTATGATTACTTATTCATTACTGATAAGTAATTAAGTTTCACACAGCACTCTCTCTTTCTCCTTCCTCTCTCAGACATGTCAATCATTGCATCAGAGACTGCATCACTCGTCTGCCCCTCCATCTTGAGAGGCTGAAGCCGATTTAGGAACCGGCACCATTTAGGGGCCATTTTCTACACACACACACACACACAAGAATGCAGATTCACACATACACGTGGCAAATTTCTTCAAATCTGGTAAAAAAAAAAGCCAGATAATCAACGGGATGTGCATACTTGTGTGTGTTTGAATGTTTGTGTAAAAAACGTTGTCTTCAATTGTTCTCAAAGAGGGAAATAATTTAGCTTTGACTTCAGGTGGATGTTAAAGTAGAATTAGACATCGAACATGAAAGGAGAGAATGCAAGATAGATTAACCTCCGGCTCAACGGCACTAACCCTCACAATTTGTCTCTCTTTTCTCTCGCCCCCTCTCTCCCTGCCATCAGAACCCCTAACCCCCCTTCCCCCTTTCCTGTCTCACCTCACCACCTCCCCCTCCCAGCTCCGGCTGCAGACGGAGGGAGTTATGCAGTCCTTCCGTGAGCGCAGCGGTGGTTACCACAGCAACCAACCCTGCTACCAGCAGGAGCCCCATGAATTATCCCGCCTGGAGACCTACCGACAACACCCGCATCATCCCCACCCCCAGCATCCGCTCCCAGGCCCCGGTCCACATCCAGACCCAGGCCCCGGGCACAGCAGAACCGGCTATGAGGCTCATTCACTGGCAAACCCCACGAGCATGACTCCAGCTGGAGGACCGGTAACTGGAGGAGGACCCAAGGACTGTTACAGCCAGCAAGCCTACCCTGGTTACCCAGGCAATGGTGGAGGGAATGGGAGTGGAAATGGGGGCTCAGCACCCTCTCAGGCCAAGAAAGCCTACAGAGGAAGCAAAGTGCCCACACCAAACCCCAGTCAGCTCCTCCAGGCTCCTGGGGGCTATAGTAACCACATGGGCCCTGGGAGTTACTCAGCCCCGTATATAAGTGAGGGCCACCTCCAGCAGAAATGGGAGGACTCTGCCCAGTTAGCACAGTATGACCAAGAGATGGTGGGGCGTATAGAGGCTGGTGGTACCCCTGCTCCTGGCTCCTCCCAGTACATGGACCAGAACATGCTGGGCCACACCCAGACCCAGTGCATCCAGCCCTCCACCCCTGCCTATACTAGCCCCCACCATCAGCCCCACCCCCCTAACCCTGCCCCCTCCCCTCTCATGTACCCCCAGAGTCACCTTCACTACCCCCAGCACTCACCCTCTCCTTCGCCATACATGGAAAAGTGCAGCCCTATGCCCCACTGTTATAAAGGTTACAACATTCCCCCAAATTCCCAATATGGCAGACAAATGAGCAGCCACAGCAATCTGAAGCAGGGGGGTTACAGGTCGACCCAGAACAGTTATGGCTACCAGCAGCCTCCCTCCAGAAGTTATGAGCAGCAGCCCCCTTTACAGGCCATGACCAACCCCCAGGAGCCCCACCCTAAATACCAACACTACAGCCAACCCCAACAAAACTACTGTCTCTCAGAGCTGTCTGTCAGATCACCGGAACAGTATTATCAGACTTGTAGCCCCTCCTCAAGCCACTCTCCAGCACGCTCTCTAGGACGCTCCCCCTCATACAGCTCCACACCTTCACCACTAATGACCAATCCAGAGTCATTCCAGTATGGCCAACCTCCCATGACCCCTGGGGCAGCCTCCTCCTCTTCATCCTCTTCAGCTGGCATGCAGGAGCAAGCCAGTACCAATACCATGTTGATGCCCCCTCGCTCACACCCCTCACCCAATGTGCCCCATGCAGCTCCCCACAGCTACACCACCACACCGCAGGTCCCCACCATGAAAGAACGCTTCTCAGAGAAGCTGTTGTCAAACCCCAGCTTGTGGAGCCTGAATGCCCTCACCTCTCAGGTAGAGAACATCTCGAATAATGTCCAGCAGTTGCTGCTTTCAGAGGCCCTGGTGGCCAACAAGAAAAGTGGTAAGCGCAACAGTGGAGGTAGTAACAGCAGTGCTGGAAGCGGAGCATCCATCAAAAAGGGTGAGGAGTACAAAAGTCCTCCGTATCCAGATGGTGGTGGTGGTGGTAGTGTTGGTGGAGGCCCCATGCAGGACCCTTACTCTACCCCACAACACCAGCCAATGCCCATGGAACTCCATGAGGGAGGCTACTCCAGCAGTAGTGATGAACAACTGGAGAGGGGTTACTACTACTGTGGCCAGGGCAGAAGTCCAGCACAGGCTCCCAATAACACACAACTCAACCTGGACACAGCCTCTTCATGCTCCATGACATCTCCAGATGATATGTCCACCAGGTCTGGAGACTCAGGTCTACACAACCTTACCCCTGACCCTAGATGTCAGTCAGGGCAGGGAGGGGATGGCATGAACACTCCAGTGAAGAGCATTGGCGATGAGAGGTCTCCTACAAGCATTACAATCCCCAGTCCAATGAAACAAGAAAGGGACTCCCCTTCAGATATACAGCATATCAACGAGCCTGTCAAAGAGAATTTTGAAGAATTAGCCTGGACAGAAAAATCAGCTGACAAAGAGGAGGTGTCAACAGATAAGTCTCCTGACAGTGAGAGAGATTCAGACACAACTAAATCTACAGAGAATCTGGAGAAATGGTCAGATGAAGAGAAATGTCCGGCTTTCTACAGCAAACTTAACAAAGGAATGACAGAAAAAAGCTATTGCTACAAGGAGACAGTGTACCAAACGGTCCAGAGCAAATATGACCCTGATACAAGAGACTCAGTTGAACAGTCCCCAGCAGCTCTCTCTGACTCCAGCCACAAGGAACACTTTGGCCATGAGATGAAATCAGAGGCGTTCAAATCTGAGTCTCCAACTGCATCTGAGAGCTCAGTGAAAACATTGCCTTTCATTTCTAGGGGGGACCTTGAACAGGATCAATATTCCACGGAGAAGGAGGACAGCTCAGAGAACACCTCTCCAATCCCCCAAGTTGAGGCCTTGGACGAGAGCAACTCAGACAAGAGAGAGAGCCGAGATGAGGAGGATGAAGAGGATGAGGGTGTACAGTATGAAGCGGATGAAGAGGGAGAAGGAGAAATAAAGAAACAACATTCTCTGTCCTCTCCTCTGTCTGTAGAGGTTAGGGAGGAACTGGAGGAGGGGGAGAAAGTGTCATCGACTGAGGATCACATTAACAGAGATGGGCAAGAGAAGTCATCTGGGGATCTCTGCAGCAGGACAGAGAGTCAGAGTACAGAGCTCCATACTGACAACGAGCCTGCAGGGACGCCTGCCCATCCAAATGTAGGAGCAGCAACAGCAGCAGCAGATGCTTCTGCAAGGGAGTCAGCCATTGGTGACACTGCTCCTCAGCCTCAGTCTGCTATGCCAGTCTTCTCAGCTCTCAATGACAAGACAACACCTCCAGCTCAGGCCAGGGATCGTATTGATCACAGTGATGCTAAAGTGCTGGAGCCAGACTCTCCTCAGCTGCCAGGGAAGTCGATACTTCCCTCAGCCCCCTCCTGGGCAGACACTCCTCCCTCCCCCGAAAAAGGCGATGAAGACATGGAGCCGGGCATCAGCTGCGCCAGTGCAGTGACCCCCTTGGCCAAGCCAGAACCTGTGGCCCCATCTGCTCAGCCGAGGGCATTTGGACGTAAGCATGCAAGGGGCAGAAGAAGAATCATGCATTCAGGTATGGGAATCAGGCGACAACTAAACTTAGAGAGAGAGGGAGAAAAGGAAGAGGAAGGAGCCCCCTCGCCTACACAGAAACCCTGCATGACTCCAAGCAAAACTGTGTTATTCTCGGATCCAATGGACCTAACTCATCAGGAATCTATTGTGAGCCAGACTCCCAAAATGCTAACTGATGGTTTTCGTTCGAGAATGTGCACTCGTTCATTCAATGCACCAGACTTGCCACCTAAAGTTGAGCCTCATGAGAAGAGAAAACCAGGTCCAAAACCAGGTTCGAAGCCTGGGCTCAAACCAGGGTCAAAACCTGGACCAAAACCAGGGTCAAAACCTGGAGCAAAGCCAGGTCCAAAACCAGGGCCTAAACCTGGTCTTAAGCCTGGACCAAAGCCCGGGCCAAAACCTGGACCTAAACCAGGACCAAAACCTGTGCCAAATGAATCAGAGCTGCCACAGAAAATTGAGACACCAGTGAAACGAAAACCAGGACCCAAACCAGGTTCAAAAACTGGGCCAAAACCTGGTCTAAAACCAGCTCTAACACCAGGTCCAAAACCAGGACCTAAGCCTGCACCCAAGCCTGCAGATATTTTGCCCCTCGATGACACTGCACACATCAAGGCCTCAGTGGGTCGCCCTAAAGGCTCCGTTTCTAAGGCAAAGCTGGTACAACAAGAAGAAACCATTCAACCTTTGACGGGACAGCAAAGCAGGGCCAGAAAGAGCCCAAAAGCTTCAATATCACAAGTAACCCAGGATGTTAAACCAGTAAACCAGGACGAAAAACAAGCAATACACGAAGTGAAGGCTCCAGAGAAGGAGGGTAAGAACATGGTCTTAAGATCCAGAAAGCCCTCACAAGAAAAACTGTCAAAAGTCACAGGGGAAGATATTCTTCCCCAGACACTAACAGAAATTAAAGCTACTGATGATTCTCCAAAAGTAGAGGAACCTGTTACTCTGGAAAAAACTCCAACTTCCATTCCTAATGCAGTCAAAACCACAGATGTTCTAGCAGACCCACCTGCACCACTTGCCTCACCTGTCCTAACAGAACAATCTGAAGAAAAGACATTACTTCCAATAAAACGGAAACCTAGCCCAGAACTTTCTACAACACCAGTAAAGAAAAAGAGGGGTCCAAAGCCCAAACCAAAACCCTTACCACCTCTAGTGGAACAGGTTGTCTCTACACCTAAAGAGAAGGGTGTCCGTGCCCCCAGAAGAAAGCGAGGGCCACCCAAGAAAGTCTCTGTGGTCACTTCCCCACTCAAAGACACTCCTCCAAACCTCAGAGAGACGGACATCGCTAGTGATGTGCCTGTGGTGCCTCCTCAATGCCCCACTAAAACAAAAGTTCTCCCACCACGCAAAGGCAGAGGACAGAAATATGAGGCCATGGTGCAGAAAATTACATCTCCAAGCTCAAAGAAACACCTCCCAATTCCCCAGATGGACAGCAATCTAAGGGATGATGTGACAGTTAGGGCTTTGCCTCAACTTGTCTTAAAGGAAGGTGAGCCCTCCATGCTCATAAATAACATTGAGGTGATAGAAGGAGAAGTGAAAAGCATAGATTCTAGACAGGAAGTACTGAAACAATGTGAAGGAGCACTGAGAAAAAAGGAGATGGCACAAGAAAGAGAAAAGCATGAGGTGAGTCAGGAGGCATCAACGGCAGAGGAGGTGAGACAAGGGATGGAAGAAGAGATTGTGAATAAGGAGGAGACAAGACAAGAACACATGAAACCAGGGATACAGCATGGTGTCAGAGCTGACAAGGTTTGGAGCTCAATAGAGGCCCCAGTTGAAGTCGGGTCTCTAGGAGAGTGGACACAACAGGCCTCAAAAGGCGCCTCATCTGCTCCCACCAAGTCCGCCAGAACTAAAAGGAAGAGATGGGCCATGGTGGAGAGCACAGATGCCTCAGTCGTAGCCTTGGAAGCAGGGAGCCTAATAGTTACAACACCAAGGCTAGCCAAGCAGAGGGCCATTAAAAACAACCATGAGATGCATCTAAAACAGAGGAGAAAGAAAAGAAAGGGCCAAGCTCCTCTAGAAGAAACAGAGACAGTTGAGGAGAAAAATATTGAAACAGTAGAACAACAACGGGAGAGGGTAGAAGAGACGGTAACCCCCACAGAGTCCACAATACCGCTGCCAATCAGCGCAGATGAGATCACAGAAGCCCCCCAGGTAACCAGCACAGAACTCATTCAGAAACCTAGGAGAGGCAGAAAACCATCCGCAAATCCAACTCCGAGGAAACGAGGCAAAGCCTCAGCAGAGCAGATTCCTGGCAAGCCAATGAAGGTCCACAAAAAGCCTGGGCCAAAACCTGGGATGAAAGACGCCATGGAGGTTATTGAGGCAGTAGTAAGGGCTGCAGGATGTGAACGGGCCGAAAAAGAGGAGAGAGAGAAAGAAGAAATGGAAAGAAGGGAAATAGAAAAGAAGGAAAACGCAGAAACGTGTATCGTGGGTCCTGTGGTAACAATATCAGAAAAACAGACTGAGATCATTTCTGTGAAAAGAATCAGGCGCAAACCAGTCCATCAAAGTTCTAAACTGTCTTTCTGTCCTTATGTACGGATTAACAACTCCAGAGACTTCTCTTCTTGGTGTGCCGTAGTCAACAAGCCTGAGGATGCGGTGGTATTTCAGAGACGTAGAAAAAAGGGCATACTCAGAATGAGGAATCCTTTCACAGTTGCAAAAGTAGTGCCACACACTGCTGCCATGCTACAAGGACCCTTGGTGAAAAGAAATCTAATTGACAGGTGTCTCACATGTTGCCTGTGTGGAAAGCCAGCAAATTACAGAGACCTAGGTGATTTGTGCGGACCCTACTACACAGAGGATGGCGTTCCACGGAAAATGTTGACGATCGAGCACACAGAATCCGTCAAGGAAGAGTCGCAGAAAACCAATGACAACAGTAGCAGCAGTGAAGAACCAAGCTCCTCAAAGAACGAGGGCGAGGGCAGCGCAGAAAAGGAGGGTAATACAGAGGGTTCCGCTCAAGAGGGCAGTAGTAGCAGGCACCATTGGCGATACCGGCGAGGAGAAAGAACAGAAAGGATGGGTCAGGAGGGTGGTCCTCGAAGATTAACTCTCCGAGAGAGGTTCAGGAGGATGAAGCAGCTCCAGGCCATCAGCACAGGGGCCTCAAGTGATCAAGAGGGTGGTGACAGCATGTTCAAAAGGCTACAAGTGGAGGCAGAGGCTAAAGAGCACTGGGCCCATGAAAACTGTGCCATCTGGACCAAGGGGGTAATTATGGTAGCTGGGAGGCTATACGGACTGAGGGAGGCTTCCAACAACTCAGTCCAAACGGTACGATAGCAATAAACAGTCTATTCTGAAATGTATGCATGCTTAAGTTAAGTTAAAAATTAAATGGAATAATATGCAGCTTCTTTGAGACGTTAACATTTTGACACTTTTTCCTCTCTTTTCCCTCTCTATCCCTATGTCCCTCCATCGGTCAATTTGTTTGTTTCTTTGTTGATTTTCGGTCCATATGTCCGTTTGTCTGACTAACCCCAGAGCTGCTACAAGTGCCAGATTGTGGGGGCGTCCCTCAGCTGCTGTTGGAGAGGCTGCTCTCATAAATACCACTATGTCTGCGCCAAAGAGATAGGTAAGAGACCGCAGCGAGAGAAGGAAGAGTGCAACAAGGGATGAAAAGGGGAGAAAAGCCAGGGAGAGGGAGGAGAAATGAGGAGGGAAATTTGGAAGGGGAAATTGAACGTGGGTTTAGTTGGTTGTGGGAAAGGAAAAAATAAGACAGGTAGAAAAAAAAGAGAGAAATGGAAGGAGAGGGAAGAAAGCGTGGGGAGGAAAAGTGGATGTGGGTAAAATGAGAGAAGAAAAATGCATCAGGAAGTATCATTATTGAGTGTGAGAAGAGATGTCTGAGAGTGCTAAGAGAGAGCAAAAGAGGGAAGGAGGGAGGGAAAAGAGGTAGGGAGCCTTGAATAAAGGGTATGATGAGGGGAAAGTGGGATCCTGGAGTGTGCAAGATGGAGAGGGGGAAAGAGATAGAGTGTGGAGGGTGTTGTGTATGTGTGCATTATTGACCACAACCCCTGTGGCTCCGTCCATCCATTCTGCTGTCTGGGGACTGGATGGGCGTGTGTGTGTGCGTGCATGTGTGTGTGTGTGTGTGTGTGTGTGTGTGTGTTTGCACATGTGCCCTCTTGCCTCCAGCCTGAATGCTGCCTCTAATGCTACCCTATAGTGCGTCTTACAACCACGCTGCCTTCAATGCTTGTGTGTGTGTGTGTGTGTGTGTGTGTGTGTGTGTGTCCCTGGTCATTGTTGTCAATATAAGTGAGTGTCTGTGTGTCAGCAGCACATGTGTTGTTGTATGGCTTCCCCTTACATCATGCCAAGGAAGTACGGTGCGAGGATTAGAAGGCCTGCCATGTCTGCCTTTAGCCAGCACAGGGAGCAGAGCGAGGCCCTTTTTAATCCTGCTGAGTGCACCGGCCATATCTGACTGTCTGCCTGCATCGCAACTTATCCACTCAGTGTCTCTCTTTCTTCTGTTGCTCTCTCTCTCTCTCTCTCTCTCTCTCTCTCTCTCTCTC